TGGACAGGGCCTCTTGGTGCAGCCCCATCACTGCGGGCTCAAGAGTAAGCATGCTATCAAAGTTGCACAGTGCAGTCTGGTTGAGGAACCTGGGACACTTGTACGTAACAGCTGATTGCAACAAGCCCAGGGCAGGGGAGAACATTTAAGGTGGACTGGCTGAAAAGCTGTGTGCTCACAACACCTGATCCAGTCTCTAGTGTCACTAGAGATTTTACAGACACATTGATGCCACTAAGAGGCCTGACTTTGTTGTTGCTTCCACATTCAGCAGATATGGCTACCAGTCTTCACCTCCTTCAGGACGTCACTCTCACCAGCAGGGTGCCCACCAACTAAGTCTGAAAGCTGGGCTTCGTGTGCATGAGACTCACGGGAAACACTGTCCATGGATTCCCCAGGCTCCTCCTGCACTGACTCTGAGTAGGACTGGGGTGGGCTCCAGATCTGCTGGGGCACCAGAAAGAGGCCCAAGGGCACCTTGGAGATCAGGGCTCAGAGGATGACAGCAAGAGGGGAGTCTGTGGTGCCCCTCAAGCTTCTCTCTGGAAGAGACTCTGAGAGAAGGTGTTTCTGGAAGAGTCCAGTCGGCACCCTGCATGCTTTCAGAATTGTGGGCTGGTCTAGCAGGGTTGGGTGAAAATGGTTAGGTCTGAGTCCCCTGGCTCAGTGAGACTCTCTCTCAGGGCAGCTGCTGCCAGCAGCCTTTCCCAGATGCTCAGACCTCACAGAGAAGCTTGCCAATTTCCCTTGGCCTCAGTCTCCTGCCCTCTGACTTCCTAGTGCACAGCCTTGGGAGTTCAGGTATCTCCAACCTTATCAGCATAGATGGATTAGATATAGCTACAATTCATGTCCATGTTTTTCTCTGCTCGATTGTTCCTCTTGGAAAAATGGCTGATCGTGAGATGGTCCTTAGGAAATCCTAAAAGCAAGCTGCTCCAGATGCTTGGGTGCGATGAGGTGAGTCTGGTATCCTGGGATGTCTCAGTTGGTCCAGACCTTCATGGCCAACTGTCAACTGAGGGATACAACCGCCTCTTCTTCTGGCTCCTCCTCACTCCACACCAGTTCCCAGACTCAGGAATTTGCAAGTCCCAACCATACTCTCTTTTCATCCCTTAAATGAGCCAATCCTTGGAGGCACGGTCAACACCCAGGGTACCAGGCACTTGTCAATGCTGGCTTTGACACAGGACTCCAGCATGAACATTCTGCAGGCTTAGGGTAGGGAGCTCCGTAAAAGAAATCATGACTCTGATACATTCAGCAACTTTAAGGGCAAAAGAAATGTGGGATGCCTGGAATTAAGGTGCCCTTTCCAAAAGAACTAATTTGCCGGCACACTTTTAATTATGTTATTTTCCTCCCCCCTTCTCAAAATCTATTTTTCCAGCTTACTATGTAATTGGTAAAATGCCATAAGTTGAAGACTGAAATTCTTAAAACCCACCAAAAATGCACAGAATTACTTCTGCAGTGTGCTGTTTTCCTGGCATTCAAAAATCTAGCACCTCTCTTGGTAAAACCCATAATTCCACATCTTGTGGTGTTTGGTTGTTCTTCCTAAATAAAGAAAAATCTTAGTGGCAAGTTTTTCCTCCAAACTGTTCTATAATCAATTCTAATAAGTTTGTGCAAGAGAAAACACACTGGGATTCCACCCAATTATTTGGTTTCCACTAATAAGGATAAAGTCTGTGAAACTCAATTATTGTTGTTTATGGAACAGACTGTTGGGCAGCGATTTATTCCCAATGATAGTGAGTGGCAACAGGCCAGAATTTAGAACTGAACGGTCCACGGCAGCTCCCCCAAGCAGGGACATGGCAAGAGGAATTCCTCCAATTCCTATTCATGTGTCAAGCATATTAATTAAATAGAGAATCCCTCCACCTCTTAGATGGAATCCCCACGTCACAACTGCTTCCCAAAAATCTATTATCCAAAGGTCTACGGAATCACTCATGCTGACTTACTAGGAATTACTAATTCTGGACAGTACCTGACCCCATGTTTATCTCCAACCAAAACCTGTGGGTTCCACAGTGAATCAGGAAAAGTCCTCCCAAATGTTCAGAAGTAGAATGTGTTTAGGAAAAACACTCCTGTGGTCACACACAGGGCATCTGTTTCTTTAATGCCGGTACTTGTTTTTTTGTTCAGAAGAAATTCCAAGAAGCGCATGATACATGCCAGGAGAACTTATGCCAAGCACTTGGGGTTCTTTTAAGCTCCCAAAGAAAAAAAAAAGAGAGAATCAATATCCATCTTGCTTCTTGCTCTTTTTAATAAACAGTTTCAGTTTCAGTTACCAAAGGCGAGATTTCATTTCAGACTTCCAAATCAGTTATCAAGAATAAAAAGCATTATCTTATTTAAAATAATATTGTGGAAGCATCCATTTCCCATTTGAGAGCTGACAAAGGTCATGACAACAACTTAATTGAAAGTTGTATTTTTCAGGCAAGGGCCCCACATTTTCCACAGTGTATTACAAAGTACAAATGACAACTCAGTTGCTACTTCCTCTCCCCTTCAAAGCAAACCTCCTTGAAAGTTTGCCAAGCTAAGTATCAATTTATGTAACTCAGGAGGTGGGTGTCACTAACAAGGTTTTGACTCAAAGTCCAATTTTCAGCAAAAAAATGCCAGGAAAATGTCCCGTCTTCAATTGTCTATTTCATTCTTGTTGCTAAGTTATGCTTTTGTAACTTAGGTATTTCCATTAAAATGTCACATTCGGTAACATTTGAGATGAAAAGGTAAAGAAATCTGATCTGAAATGCAGGGTCGTTTAGCAAACTTCACTCAACAACCCTACCTGGATACCTACCCTGTTATTATCCTGTACTCTGAGAACAGTGCCTGCTAATCTGCCTCAGTGGAAGCCACCCTACCTCAGAAACCTCACACAATACAGTGGCACAGAAGATGCCTGGGTAAAGAAATAAGCAGCACAGCTAACTGGGTCACACCTGCAATTCCCTCCTTTTACTTGAAGGGTTTGGATTTTTCACAGCCAGGAGAAGGCACAGTCTAGAAGTGCTGGCTTCATTTCTATGCAAAGTGGCCCCCGAAACAGGAACCAATGGAAAAGTCAACAGGACATGAAGCAAACTCCCGACTTTCAGAGATTTCTGGCTGGGAATTGCACTTTGCAATGATTAGCCCTAACTAGCTGAGACCAGAATGGTAATGAGCATCTGAGTAACAGAATCTTCACTTCCCATTCGACACTCTCATATTCCTTCTAAGATGCAATTCAAATCTCTCATGAGATTCTCACTGAAGTTTCTTCTGGCTGCTGGAGAGTGTGCGAGGACACCATGACATGCCTAAGTGGCCCCCGTTTCTCCATTTGGAGGTGACCAGGGGGCCCAAGAAGCAGAGCAGATGGCTGAAACATCTCATAAATGACAGTCCTGCAGAGGGGGCCTCATCACTGCTGGCAGAATTTTACTGTTTCTCCAGCTCACCCAAATAACAATGCTAAGTGAACACTGAACTTGGCACACGAGTGAGACCAGGCAAAATGGCTTTGAACCCTGCTCCAGATCGTCTGCTTCAGATGTGAAGCTGGCTACACAGGACTTACAGGCTTCCTCTTGTATTTGGCAAAGGCCTCAAATAGTGATAGCAAGTGGGATTTTTCCCAGAGAAGGACACAGCTGCATACCTGTCACCAAAGATTGAGCACGCCAAAAGAAAGAAATCACAGATCGATTGCTAGACAGGTTGGTTAAGCTACTTGAGATGGGTATGCTTCATCTAGGGGGTTCTGAACAGGGAAGCACACAGCTTCAAAGCACGGGGAGAAGTAGTTCCTTCCAGGTCCTTTTCATGTCTTGCATCTTCCCCAATGGTCAGGCAGAAGTATGAGCTTTTATTTCTCAAGATGATGACAGTCAATCTACTTCCAAAGAACTGGTAAAAGAAACCACCAATCTAGTGAAATCGAATTTATGTTCCCAATGAAAACACTACATTAATTTGAAGTAAGAGTAAACGCAAGTGCTAACGACCAGCTTGGTGGCAGAACTTCTCTGGTCAGATGCGTGGTTAAGCACCAGTTATGTCTCACCTGTTGGGATGAGGATTCTTATGGGTGAGGGCCATGGCTGGAATCAGGCTGCCTGTACCCCCACCCAGGCACAGGACCCTGGGAAAAGTCTCAAAAGAGGTAGTTTTTTTTTTTTTTTTCTTTTCGTTTACACCAACAATACTACAGAAGTATTGGGTACAAAAGAGCAGGTTTTTCTTCCCACTCTTCCTCGAAGGGCAAAAGGCCTTCCATTTCAGAAGAGGCTGGTGAGAACACTCTCCTGTTGTGTGAAGATGTCCTAGTGGATTCTGGCCCCCATTTAGAACCCAGAGAGACACAGAGGGGCCGCCGCTCTATCCCCACATCAGAGGGGGTGGATGCAGATATCAGGTCCCAGGCTGCTTCTCCCTCCATCACATCAGGAGCCTCCTTGTATCACTCTGACCCAGGTTGAGACCTGGCACAAAATACCCTTAAATACCATTAATAGTAAAAGCTTCTGAGAGGGGTTATCAATTATATACACTCACTATTCCAGTGATCAGAGAGAGAAGAGAACTAGTTGAGGCTTACTTTGCTTTTTGTTTTTTATGTGTTACACCTAGAAGTTTGGCATGACCAGTTCCAAAAGCCTGAAGCCCAATTCAGTCTGTTTTGGTTTAGAATGAGGTGTTTTTTTTTTATTATTATTATTATTATAATTTTTCTTGGAAGTAGAAAAGAATTGGAAGCTAGAAAATCAGGAATCAAAATACAGTGACTCTGGAAGGCATCTGGGAGCAGAACAGATTTAAGACCAAGGACACAGGAGGAGGCCTTGCCTCGTTTCTCAGTCCTGCTGCCCTGGAAGTGTTACTCTTTAATAGCTGAGTTCAAGGCTGCGTGAGTTCAGGCTTGGCTCTTCATTTCCAGCGATGCCTGACCAGCGAGGACTCATCGTTGACGACCTCAGGGTCACGGGCGTGATGCCTACACCGAAGCGGGAGTATCAGCAGGATGATTAAGACAAGGAGGATAATTCCACACACGCTCATGAGAGTATAGGAGACGATCCACAAAATGGGCTCATTCAAAGATGGGGCAGGGACACAGTTGCTGGCTATGTCATCTGTTGAAAAAGGCCCAGAAATTTCAGACACTGGAGCACCTGCAATCTCTGAGGAGACAGAAGGGGGAAAATCCACAGCTATGAAATGGGCAGTGTATCCCCTACCTATGACCAGAGATAACCCCCACAGTTTATCGAATTTCAGTTGAAGTGACACTCAGTGCCAATGGCTCAGACACCCGTGTACGCCCTGAGGAAGTCCCAGCACCTGCGGACAGGAACAAGGGCATGCTTGCAGGTCTGCAGGGTGTGGGGAGGACCATGCAGAAGGGCACACGCAGACGCGGTCAGTACTTCGTGGAAGCTGGCGCAGCTGCAGTGCTGCACAGGTGAGAGTGCAGACATGCCCAGAGTGACAGCTCTGCTGGTGGTGACTTTTTGCAGAGAGAGAAGAGTAGACGGAATAGGAGAGTCTGCGCAGAAAGCTCAGCCACACCTGCTGTATCGGTGGGCCTGAGCGCATGCTCTGCAGAGCATTTGGCAAAGATGAGGGTCTTCAGGGCAGCCGACCCCACAGCCTGAATGGGTTCCCAGACCACCTGGGTCAGACTGGCTCAGGAGCCCCTCCTCGCCCCATTCTTGCCCTACATTCTAGAATGCATGTGTGACCCAGAACCAGGAGCAGTAAGTGCATGGAGCATCTAATCTGTGACACAGTTAGTAATGTAAGAATGCAGTAAAACTTCATCTCGTGACATTTGCTAGAAATTCTTGAATAACCTGTAACTGGGAAGAAAGTTGGTGACCACTTCAAACTGGTTAGGGGAGTTTCAATAGACTTTATTTATCTATACTAGATTTGTCCATTTGTTCTAAGAGTTTGGCTTTTTTTTTTTTTTTTTTTTTTGGGAGTTTTTTTTTA